CTGGGTACTCAGGAACCGAACAGTCCCGGTTGTAATCCAGCATTTTCGAAACCTGAGTTTGATTAGCTAGCGACTTTCAATACGGTTATTCACATCCTGCCTCATTTGAATTACGTGAGATATAAAAATAACTTTTAAGGTAAGTGCATGTCGGTCACATAACTCTTCTCACTTAGATTAGTACTCTCTACCTGAGAAACATGAACATATATGCAGGTACGATATACCGTAATTATTATCACTGGAAATTGTCTAAGTATGAAGCGGAGTAAATTTCTGCCAAACTGTGGGCTTTTTGCTAGAAAACCAACTAGATAAAAACATATTCTCCGTGAGCTAACACTTTTTCAGATGTTTTTAAACATAAACTAACACGTACACAGTTCGAGGTAACCCGAATTATCCGCGGGGAGTTTGGCCATAATGTATCACCTATTTGGTTATCTTCTATATTCGTAACTTGTAGGCTTTAATATAAAGGGGGAGAAATAAAAGCTTCGTGGAGCAGCATTTAAATTCACTGATCAGATACTTAACTCTAAGTGGAATACGATGTGATCAAATTAAATTATTCCTTTTATAAAGACGACTGATCGTTCATCCTCGATTCAAGTTCGAAAGGGATATCGTTTACACGGAAACTCACATCATGTGGTTATATTTTTTTGGTCTTCGAGTTTGGCCGATATCAAACTTCTCATTTAGTGCACGTGGGTTCTTCGTCATTGCGTATTAATTCTACATTTTTCTAGATGTTAATTTAATTAGCCTTTTCCTTAGTCAAAGCAATCGACTACGCATTAAATGTTAGGAGGCCTTATGCTACTGACTAGCACAAAGATCGGAAGTAAAATTTATCCGATCTGGTCCCACAGCACTGCTACTTCAGAACCCCATATATTCCGGAGATTTCACTGTGCAGGACATATCGATTTTGTTTAGTCAACTCCGGAAATACATGAGCAGAAGTGACCCTTCTAAAAAGAAATATAGACCATTCACAACCCAATTTGTGCCCCTCGTTCTCATTAGGACTTTCATGCAAAGTTTTTCCTTAAGCAAACACACAACTTATTAGCTATGTTTCCTATAACACTGGATAATTTTATAACACAGTTTATGTGAGGAATCCATAAGAAATTTGTTGGAGGGCAGACATTAATTCGTGATCATATAAGCATCCATTTCCAGGACTTTGTCGTTTTGCAGTTCTAGCTTGTTTGATGATCCTCCAGAAAGCTTCTCAAACTTCAATTTTAATCCTTAACCTGCTTAAATTACGACAATAACTCTAACGTTCTCCTCAATATTTCCTTTTGCTTGCGAAATTCTGGAAGGCAGGCATCCCAAGAAATGTAATTTCAAGGAAAGGCGCCCCTTTCTCATTTTCCCAAAGGACGCCTTTCCTTGAAAGTAGTTTCCTTTTTAATTCTTTTTAGTTGGACCTTCTTCCCTTATACTGCATGACTGCTTCCAGCTTAAGTAGTTTAAGTACCAAGTTAAACTAGTCTATAGTATCTACTGGAAACATGTAGGCCTTCTAGTCATACTCACTTCATTATTTGAAATCACAGATGCTATAGGTCGTTGCAGCAAAATAATATGCGACAATAACAACACTACTAATGCGTTTTAAGTAGCACCACTTATTTATATGCATCTCGATACCCCGATACTATTCGTATTTAACTTTGTTTTATTATCTGTGAGTGTTGGATTTGTTTATACCTTGAGGCTAAATACATTTAATTTCTAATCAAACAACATTATCAAATTATGTAGGACATGAGTGCTTTAAATCCAAGACAGACAAAATCACTTCACCCAAGCCAGTTTCTTAGCATTTTTTCCGTGGATTTAATAAGTTACATAGTAAGAAATACCTACTTATAAAAAGCAACTCTTCCATTCCATTTTGCCAATGACTGAGAGGACAATGGAGCATGGGTTTTATTGATGCCAGTAATTCTTCATAGTTTTTTGATATGATATAAAATATTCGCAAAATACAATGTTTACGCTGTCTAAATTATATTAAGGAATTTAACCGCTGACAATCACGTTTAGACAGAGCCTAAACAGAGCAGACATTAACGTTTTCCGCGGAAGTCAAAAGCGGCTCCTTAAGCTTCAATGGAACAGAGGCACAACCTAAGAAGATTCTATGACATAACAGAATGGTATCGAGGGAACAACAAAACTGATAAAGCAATGGAAAGCATAAAGGTAGAAGGGAAGCCAGAATAGACGAACATTTAGGAGCAGTTGGAAGACAGGACACATAGGGCGGCGGCAGCTGGTTAACAGAAAACATATCTTCCGATTACGTACAACTGCCCATCCAGACAAATGAAGCACGCGAAAAGGATTGATAGTCAGCGGAATTGTTTATTTGGATTTCGGATTTCTTCCTCCTGCTGCTCTTTTGGTCTTTTATACTTACCTGATCTTATTGTCAAGTTCACGCCTCGGATAGACCCACCCACGGATATTATGAGGCAGCTTGCCAATATTTTGGTCGAATTCGACGCATTTTAGTGTGTTTTTATTGTGACATTGCGAATCTCTTTTTGCCATCCTTACCTGCGAAGGCCAGGGACAAAGTTACTGATCTGAGCAGACGATGATCCGATATTTGTTGATGAACCCTCACCAATCGGTTACGAGACTCACTTCACCCGTTGTGCCTTGGGGTTTACTCTGAAGTTCCGTCAGCAGGCGTACAACGGCTAGTATTATAGGCAGATGAACATGCCCGGTATAGACAGCGAAGACTGAAATGATCCATTCTGGCTTATTAGCCAGCCACGCCCAACCCCAGGTGTTGCACCAGGTTGATTACTTCTAATAAGCCGGTCTCCCTTGTCTTTGTTCAGCAATGCTTATTTGATGGTCCGATGTCTCCACCGCATGGCGGGTCCGCCGAAATCTTAGGAGCTGCAGCAACACAACAAGGATAGGCAGGTCAGCCACTTCCAGCACCCAAGGGCTCCTCAATG